GAACCGAGTACAGTGCCCTGTGGGACTCCACTGGTGACTTCACGCCAATTTGAGGTCTCACCCCTCACTGTAACTCTTTGCTTCCTATTGCTTAGGTATTCCCTTATTCATTGGAGCACTTTACCAGTTACTCTTGCCTGTCTCTCCAGCTAAACCAGTAAAGCAAGAATTACCCTCCCTGAACCCATGTTGGCGATTTGTCACGAAGTTCCTTCTCTCCAGATGTGTTACTAGATTTTTTCTCATGATCTTCTCCATCACTTTGCATGGTATACAAGTTAAGGACACTGGCCTGTAATTCAGTGCCTCTTGTCTGTCACCCTTTTTGCATATTGGGACCACATTAGCCGCCTTCCATATTTCTGGAAGGTTTTCCATCTCCAGTGACCTACTATACACTATGGAGAGTGCCAAGCAGAGTGCCTCTGCACACTCTTTCAATAGCCATGGTGAGATCCTGTCTGGACCAACAGCCTTTCTCACATCCAGATCCAACAGGTGTCTCTTGACCTCATCTCTCGTAATTTCGAACCCTACCAAGGCCGCCTGCTTTACTGCCCCCTCTCCTAGCGTAGTGACCTCACCATGTTCTATTGTTCTTGGATATTTGTGGGCAAGTACCCAAGCTACATAAGCAGCAATAGTAGATGCCCAACAAAGCTTTAACAAACAACCACTATGGCTACTCCAGAAAAGGTGAAAAGATCCTTGATAGGCCTTAAAGGTCACCTGAGAAGACAACTCAATAAATGTGAGAAATTGTCACAAGAATCTCCAGTTGATAATAATCAGTTGGAAATATCTCTAAGGGTAGGTGATGGCAAATTTGAACAAGTGAAGGGAATGATCGGGTCGTACATTGGTGTACTTAACGACAGAAACACTGTTCATGATGAAACAATATGGAATCAGCAGAATTTACAATGTACGAAGATGTCACTCAAGAAAATTTCAATCCCTTACTCTACTTACTAAATGCACATAAAGTGACACCTAACTCCACAGTTCAATCCAGTGCAGCTCAGTCAGAGGCATGATTACCCCCCCTCCCTATAGACTTGCCAACTTTTGCTGGACTGGATGAAGAAAATTTGGACACCTTTTGGATGCCCTTAAACACACATGTACATTCTAAAACATCGATATCGAAGGTGACAAAGTTCACATACCTACAAAGCCTCCTCAAAGCGGAAGCTAAGAAAGTTATAGCTAATCTGTCCCTAGATGAGGACACCTATGATATAGCTGTACAGTTGTTGAAAGACAGCTACTACAACAAAGAATTAAGTATAGTTAAGCTTTTTTTTATCAATTAATGGATTTAAATCCTCCTATTAATCCATCAAATTCCCTTCAAGACTTTAGGTTAGAGATGGAGTCACTTGTGAAAGCCCTTAGCACCAAAGTAAATGTGCGGGCTTCCTAATGGTCACTAAAACTGTTTATCCAGAAGAAGCTTCCTCGGGATGTTTTACCAGAAATCTGCTTCCATTATAAAACTGGTATCCTATCCCTTGATGAGGTTTTTGATGGATTAAGAATAACTGTCAATCGGCTGAAAGTTCATGACAGAATAAAATCTGACAATAACAGGTCATCCACTAATAAATCAGTAAGACCAAAGAATGCAACAAATAAAACTAATAAGTCTAAACTAACTACATTTACTCCAAGGTGGAAAAACAACAGTGTGTGTGTGTACATACACAGTGAGTCCCTCGAAACCTACAGTCACTGTGTCACCCAAGGCAGTGACTCTCAAAATTACTATAGGATGGAGAGACTGTTGGTTCTGTCAAAAGGAACATTCGTTATACCACTGTCAAAACTACTCTGAATGTACATCCAGAATAAAGCGTCTTAATGAATTGCATAAATGCAACAGATGCTTAAAATGACACAACCCCAGTACCTGTGCAACCCAACTACACACTTGCAACAGGTGCCATAAGGGGTCAACACCATACAGTGCTGTGTGCAGACACTAGACCTAGGTCGCCCAAACCCCTAGGTGGAAGAAGAAACTTTTGCGATAGTACAGTATTGTAAAGTACGACACGATGTAAAGGTACTAACTACAAAATCTGACAATAACGACTTTACCGACTGCTCAATTTAACATAACAAATAAGTGGTCCAAGATCACCAATCATGGATTATTTGATCAAGGATCTCAAAAGACGTTTGTCACAAAGAAGGTGGCAGATGCCTTAAAACTTAAACCAATACGTCAAGTAAAATTAAACATTTCAGGGTTCTCGACCAACACGCTACCCCATGAGTATAAAGTAGTAGGACCACTAGTATGTCATGGCGGCTATACTCGACCAGTACAAGCCATAGTAATAGATAAAATCCCATTTGACCTTTATGTTCATGGTCTAAGGAACACAGTCAAACTCCTTCAAAGGAAAGGAATCAAGTTGGTTGACAACAAAATTACGTCTGACCACCTCACCGATATTGGTGTACTTGTAGGTGCGGACTATTATTATAAGTTCATCACTGGAAGTATTAAACAGCAGGGGCGATTTGCTCACTGGTCCAATATTGAGTCAAAGTCAGCCCACACCTGTGGACAACAGACAAGTCAGCCCAGTGATGGCTGCGTGACTAGGCATAGAGCAGCCATCACTTAAATTCAGAGACATGTCCGAGGATGAGCGAGATCCTCCCGCACACAAATTATGGGATCTAGCCACTTTAGGCATTGTCCCTCAACAACCCAGTTCAAACGATACGTGAATTTATAAACAATACCTACACTCAGTCATTTACAAAGAAAATGAACACTGGGTCGGGAATCATGGAAGTTGAACTATTATCAAGTTCCGATGAATTACATCATGGCATTAAATAAATTAAAATCCCAGGTGTTGCACTTTAATGAACAACCTGATAACCTAAAATTGTATCATGAAATAATCAAATAACAACTCGATAATAAATTCATTGAATATGTAACAAAGGATAATCCTAAGAAGGGACACAATTTACCACATCATGCCATACTAAAACATTCAGTTACAACACCTATAAGGAACGTGTTTAACTGTAATGCTAAAGCAGGTGGTATAGATTATGAAATCAAAACACCCAAATTATGTGGAGTAGGTAACACCTGGCAGGAACCTAACTTAAATTAACAGTCCACTTAAAATTACCTAAAATGACGGTCCATGAATTTATCTTTAATTATTTAATTCAATTAAGAAATAAATATATAAATTAGCAATCAAACAAATTCCTGCTAGTAAATTCCCCACAGATGAGGTGTTGACAGTGATTAATTTTGAAAGTTCAATCTTGCTTGGAAATGACCTTACACTGACCTTGCAAAGTATATATACTCCCTGTAAAACTTTAATCGCTTCACTGAAACTGTCTGAATCAAATTGAAACTTTTCTATAAATATTCTCTCACGTTATCCTAAGCCTATTGCTATGTTGTGATGCAATCAATGGTTGCAAAACCATAATTTCAGTGAACGAAGTGATCTACTGTACAATTCAATTGGAAACTGTACAAAACATTTGAAATTCCCCTTGAATTATCTATTTTACGTTTGTTCATACCCTTCATTCTTACTGCCAAGCTTACCGTTTCAGTGAAAGTCTATAGTTGAAAAACAGTAATTACATTGCAGCTAATGTTCCACTGTACGAAACAATTTGAAAACGGTTTGAAACATTTTTGAATCCCTTCGAAATTTTCCTTTTAACTTCGTTCACTACATACTTACCCTATTATCGTTCTTACTCAATTTTTTCATGTTGCAGTATTAATTTTTTTTTTGCCTATGTTTGCAACATGACAAAATGCTGCAAATTCAAGTTTTATGTGTGTTTGCAATGTTGAATTACGGCATTGCAACATTGCAAGCAAGGATGGAGGGGACGGACATAGTCCTCAATTACCCTTCTGTAATGTGCTGTCCTTGTGATGCAGTCATCATGAGGTGGTGAGTCTGGGAGGAGGTGAGTCAGTGAGAGGTGTGAGTAATGAGAAATGAGAAAATCAGTAGGTGCCATGAGGAGGATTACAACCCGCTCAGTTAGTACTCCCAATCTAGCGCATGAGACCACCATGCCACGACATGGTAAACACAATAGAACCTGGGATTCCTCTGAATCCTCTAGGATTCCTGAGGCTTATAACTGAAACCCAATCAGGATTTTAAGCATTGTCTCTATGCACTATGGCCAATGGTCCATTAGTTCTCCAGCGAATTCAAGAGTGAGTGGGTTCGAATCCCCCCTCATGGTTCCTAATGATTTTCTCACTGATTCATCATGTTAATGTGATTTCAGTGTGTATCATTGCAATAATATAGTCTGTATTATTTTTCTGGATATATTATTAATATATTTTGTTTGAGTACAGAACACAAATATATTAAAGTTATGTACGATTTTAAATTCTACATATACCATAAATAGAATCGATAAAATGTACAAAAACACACACTGAATGATGAATGGAAGATCAGTCCACCGGACTGGAGTACCAGCAACCTTGTCTACCTGACTGTTTCTCCAGAATCAGGCCTACAGGTGGCTTGTAAAAGACTCCTATGTCTGTGTCTTCACACTGTTAAGTGTGAAAAATGTGTGAAATGTTGGGTCCCCAGACCATAATGTTTAATAATGAATGTGCATCTGTGTATCTGAAATAGTAACTTGCTTGGAGAATTGAGCTGATTGTTGATAAAGATGTCGGTGATGACAATTATTGATAGTATGATGAGACGTATATTTTCATCTGTCATTTGTTACTCTGTAAATTGTTGCAACTTCACTGTTGATACTGATTCTTTCCAGGTGTTACTGACTTGTTTACTTTTGTGACTCAGATAAACAAACTAGCAAGGTAGGCAGACCTTGGATATTAAAATATTTCTGTAAATGAATTCCCTACTCAGTCACGCAAGTCTTAGCTATCTTTTTATATAGTCTCTAAAACGGAGGAAAATAACATACATACCATGCACGCTCCTCAGGTCCGTGTGGGCAACATCCGGGAGGAGTCTGGCAAATTCTCCTCCTTCAGCTTGTTCTCGACCTACGTGGGGCCCTACAGCGACACTATGGGCAACCTCTCCTGCTACAGGAGGGACGGTGTCACTGGCAGGTACATCAGCGTCCAGCGAGTCACTCCTGAAGATGACATGCTGCAAATCAGTGATGTTAGAGTCTTCGTTTTAATTCAGTAAATAAACAAAGGATTCTTAGCTACTCTCCTAAGTTCTGAGGAGCAGTTAAGCTTAACGTGAACAATGCCAAGAATCACAGCTCACACAAAAACTTGGAATATCACCAGACACATTTTTGGGTGTTAAAAATGAGTATGATGTCCACGTGAAGTGTGTTGAGGATGAAGTCGCGGCAACAATCCTGACCTCAACACTCACCAGTACTGATTGTTAGAAGATATTGGAGCAACGGAAAGAATTGCAATAATGGAAGTTAAATATCGCTTTAAAAATACTTAAATTAGGTAAACTTAGGTTGGATGACCAATATAGTCCTGCGTGTTTGTTATTCCTATAAGTAAACCCAGTCATGTATAATGTTCATAAAAACCTCACCATCACTAGTGTGGTTGTTTACGTTCAGTGTTTAGTGTGGTACCATAAACCTCCAGACCGATCACTCAGGTGACAAAGGCTTAAAACTATATTCTACTCTTACACTGTGAATTAGTTAGCACATTATATAATGAATTTTACAGGCAAAGTACAAGTTTGACTTATACGTTATGTTCCAATAGTTAGGAATCAAATCCAATTAAAAAGGCGTTAAATAAAATGCAGCTGATCACATATTCTGCAACTTGCAACCATCACGGCCGGACGTGTTCTTGTTGCTCCAGCACTTCACTTCACCTCACTTCACTTCATCTCTCTCCTGGCTATATATGTCCAAATCTTCTATCAAATGTACCTGTATTCACCCTTCTGAAGATGTATTATTAAATACGAAAATACTGGAGGAAATTCCTGTTTCAATTCTTTATCCACGGTCTGACACTGCCACATTTTTTAACCCATGTTAATTTTCTTGAATTGCATATATATATATATATATATGCGAACAAGCTTGAATGGTCCCCAGGACTATATGCAACTGAAAACTCACACCTCAGAAGTGACTCGAATCCAAACTGCCAGGAGCAATGCAACTGGTATGTACAGGACTGGGGTGTGAGTTTTCAGTTTATATATATATGAGACGTGAGTGTGGGTTTTCAGTTTATATATATATATATATATATATATATATATATATATATATATATATATATATATATATATATATATATATATATATATATATATATATATATGTATATTTATAACTGAAAACTCACACCCCAGAAGTGACTCGAACCCATACTGCCAGGAGCAACGCAACTGGTATGTACAGGGCGCCTTAATCCACTCGACCATCACGACCGGACAAAAACTGATGGTAGCCGAGGCTATTTAACCCATCAGCCCGCCGGCACTGTGATAGTAATCTTGGGCATAGCATTTTATCAAATCACCTCATTCTTTGGGGCACACGTGAGGAACACAAATGCGAATAAGCCTGAATGGTCCCCAGGACTATATGCAACTGAAAACTCACACCCCAGAAGTGACTTGAACAAATTTGAGTCACTTTTCGGGGTGTGAGTTTTCAATTGCATATAGTCCTGGGGACCATTCACACTTGTTCGCATATATATATATATATATATGTCGTACCTAGTAGCCAGAACGCACTTCTCGGCCTACTATGCAAGGCCCGATTTGCCTAATAAGCCAAGTTTTCCTGAATTAATATATTTTCTCTAATTTTTTTATTGTGAAATGATAAAGGAAACCATTTCATTATGTATGAGGTCAATTATTGTTTATTGGAGTTAAAATTAATGTAGATATATGACCGAACCTAACCAACCCTACCTAACCTAACCTAACCTATCTTAATAGGTTAGGTTAGGTTAGGTAGCCAAAAAAGTTAGGTTAGGTTAGGTTAGGTAGGTTAGGTAGTCGAAAAAACATTAATTCATGAAAACTTGGCTTATTAGGCAAATTGGGCCTTGCATAGTAGGCTGAGAAGTGCGTTCTGGCTACTAGGTACGACATATATATATATATATATATATATATATATATATATATATATATATATATATATATATATATATATATATATATATTATTAAATATGACCGAAAAAGTAAGATTAATAATTCTAACACGAATTTTCTCAATGTTTCGTACATTTCTTTTCACTGTTGGAGGTAAATCAAAAATCAATTCTCCAAAATTCATTTTTATTTCTAGTCTGACGCGACACGAGCGCGTTTCGTAAAACTTATTACATTTTCAAAGACTTTAGTTCACAAATACACAACTGAATAGAACTTACGCATCTCCGATTTTATATCTACATTTGAGTGAGGTGGAAGGGGTGATGTGGCATTAACACAAGACAGAACAAGATGTGGCATTAATAGGGTATTAATTTCATCAACACAAGACAGAACAAGAAGTGGTATTAATAGGGTACTAATTTCATCAACACAAGACAGAACACGAAACAATGGATATTGAATAGTGTGTTTGTAGAAAGCCTATTGGTCCATATTTCTTGATGCTTCTGTATTGGAGCGGAGTCTTGAGGTGGGTAGAATATAGTTGTGCAATAATTGGCTGTTGATTGCTGGTGTATTATATTCCCCAATGATCTTTGGCAGGTGGAGTCCGGATTTCTTGGCGTTCACAGTTTCGATCAGTTTGTTGACCTTTGCTTTTAATTCGGCTGTAGTGTCCTTCGTTACCCTTTGGAACTTAGTTTGGTCAGAGAGTATGATGTTCATTTTCGCCAGATATTCGTCTTTTTTCGCCAGATATTCGTCCAGACAGGTACAAGAGGAGTGTTGTTAACGCATATGTCGACCGTGCTCTCAGCCACAGCTCAGAATGGAAGCAAGTCGACGAAGAACTCTGTAGGGTAAGGCAGGTCCTAGTCAATAACGGCTTCTCCAATGGTTTCGTTGAAGACATCATAAGAAGGAAAGTGAAAAGCCATGCAACCTCTGAAGAGACAACTAACACAACACCTATACCCCCTATTAGACTATTTTACAGGAACTTCTTTTCCACAGCTCATAAAACGGAGGAAAGGGTCCTGAAAGATATTGTTAATAGAAACGTTATCCCTACAGACAAAAATCAGAGGATACAACTGACGATTTACTATAAAACCAGAAAAACGGCCAGCCTACTCATGAGAAACTCTCCAGACACAAAACAGAACGCTTTAAAAGAGACTAACGTCGTCTATGCCTTCAAATGCCCTCTTGGGGACTGTAAGCTCCAAAAAACCCAGTATATAGGCAAGACAACAACATCTCTTTCTAGGCGTTTAACGATGCATAAGCAACAGGGCTCCATTAAGGAACATATAATCTCTTCCCACAACCAAACCATCGCCAGAGAAATCCTAGTAAACAACACAGAAATCATCGATAGATACAGCGATAGCAGGCGGCTTGACGTTTGCGAGGCACTACACATCAAGAAGTCAACACCAGCAATCAACAGCCAATTATTGCACAACTATATTCTACCCACCTCAAGACTCCGCTCCAATATAGAAGCATCAAGAAATATGGACCAATAGGCTTTCTACAAACACACTATTCAATATCCATTGTTTCGTGTTCTGTCTTGCGTTGATGAAATTAATACCCTATTAATACCACTTCTTGTTCTGTCTTGTGTTGATGAAATTAATACCCTATTAATGCCACATCTTGTTCTGTATTGTGTTAATGCCACATCATCCCTTCCACCTCACTCAAATGTAGATATAAAATCGGAGATGCGTAAGTTCTATTCAGTTGTGTATTTGTGAACTAAAGTCTTTAAAAATGTAATAAGTTTTAGGAAACGCGCTCGTGTCGCGTCAGACTAGAAATAAAAATGAATTTTGGAGAATTGATTTTTGATTTACCTCCAACAGTGAAAAGAAATGTACGAAAGATTGAGAAAATTCGTGTTAGAATTATTAATCTTACTTTTTCGGTCATATTTAATAATATATGTCTACAGGAAAGACTGCTACCAAAATATACTAATATATATATATATATATATATATATAAATATATAAATAATATATATATATATATGTCGTACCTAGTAGCCAGAACGCACTTCTCAGCTTACTATGCAAGGCCCGATTTGCCTAATAAGTCAAGTTTTCATGAATTAATTGTTTTTCGAATACTGCTATCGCTGTATCTATCGATGATTTCTGTGTTGTTTACTAGGATTTCTCTGGCGATGGTTTGGTTGTGGGAAGAGATTATATGTTCCTTAATGGAGCCCTGTTGCTTATGCATCGTTAAACGCCTAGAAAGAGATGTTGTTGTCTTGCCTATATACTGGGTTTTTTGGAGCTTACAGTCCCCAAGAGGGCATTTGAAGGCATAGACGACGTTAGTCTCTTTTAAAGCGTTCTGTTTTGTGTCTGGAGAGTTTCTCATGAGTAGGCTGGCCGTTTTTCTGGTTTTATAGTAAATCGTCAGTTGTATCCTCTGATTTTTGTCTGTAGGGATAACGTTTCTATTAACAATATCTTTCAGGACCCTTTCCTCCATTTTATGAGCTGTGGAAAAGAAGTTCCTGTAAAATAGTCTAATAGGGGGTATAGGTGTTGTGTTAGTTGTCTCTTCAGAGGTTGCATGGCTTTTCACTTTCCTTCTTATGATGTCTTCGACGAAACCATTGGAGAAGCCGTAGGGTAAGGCAGGTCCTAGTCAATAACGGTAAGATTAATAATATATATATATATATATATATATATATATATATATATATATATATATATATATATATATATATATATATATATATATGTGTATATATACATATATATATATATATATATATATATATATATATATATATATATATATATATATATATATATATATATATATATATATATATATATATATATATATATATATATATATATATATATATATATATATATATATATATATATATATATATATATATATATATATATATATAAATATATATATATAAATATATATATATATATATATATATATATATATATATATATATATATATATATATATATATATATGCATATTAAATATGACCGAAAAAGTAAGATTAATAAT